CCCCCCGCCACTAACCCCCACTGCTGAATGGCTACCGGGCATCTCCCACGTGCCCTTGTTTGTGCTAGAACGGTCCTAGTATTGTGACCGCTCAACAGAGTCTTACGCACCTGTCCCAGCCTCTTGTTCATGGCCAAAATGCAAGCCTGTTGCTCATGGATTAAGCTTCTTCACTGTACATCAGGTTACACATATCCCGTCTGTAAGTGAGGCTTTTGCTAGGTCCGCAGCCTGCATCTGACAGCATAGCCTGTCGGCCAGTGGTCACCTCGCCAGCCTATACACCCCTAGCTCCACCCAGCAACCCAAGTGCTCCCTCCCCGCCTCCGCTCTGCGCTAGGAATACTCCATCTCTAGCTTAGCTGCCGGCAGTGCGCGCAGCCAGGGCTTTCTCCCCCTGGAGCCCAGAATCCGCCCTGCCCAAGCCCACAGCTATAAGCAGCTGGCCACAAGAGGAGCAACAGCCACAACTGCTGGTCTCTATGGGTGGGTTGGACGATGGCAGGGAAGTGCAGGTCTCGTGCTGGGGCAACAGCGACAGCACTAGGCATTCTGATAGCTTTGAGCTGAGCACTGGGGTTCCACAGCCCGGGAATGAGTAAATGCAGCAGGGGTAAGTGCTGGGCAGCAAAGGCCAAGTCCAGGGTGAGCACAATTCTGGTGGCAACTATCTGCATCATACCTACTGCGAAACCCACATGGAAATCCTGGTGCACAAGCCAGTATGGCCACCAATACCCCCAGCAATTTCTGCAGGCTGCTGTTCTGCACCTGTCTCCACAAAACTGACAGGCTTCTGCGGCACAAGAAATCCATTCCCACCCAGCAGCACACAAAGACACAGGAGAAGCTGGTCCAAATATGGCAGAGGGACAATTCTGCAGGAGTGTGCCTGCAGCTGAAGCACAACCCTTCATCTCCTATTTAATGTTAAGAGTTGATAAAAGTACTTAGTTTTTGATAATTTGGTTCTGCCATGAGTTAATTAAGATGGTGTCATGACTCCAGCAAGTAACTCTAAGCCAACAGTCCTTCATTCAGAAGAGTGTTCTTAGTAGGATGCATTCCATTGTTTCCTTGGGGAGAGCACTGCAGGGATTCAAGGGAGCATGTTGTTTGTAGAGAATACAAAGCATGAATCAGTGAGCGCTCCCTCCTGAAAGACAGCGAAAGGATTCATGAGGCAGTGTTTCACCTCCAGGGGACAAAGTGCCATGTCTCACTCAACTTCTGCCTTAATGTTATGTCCTTAATAGAAACCGTTGGGACATGAACCACCCCAAGTATCTTAGTGAGGTCAGCTGGTAATACTCTTCCCGTTGCTTTACACAGAGCAGCTAGCATTGATAGAGTACCACTCAGGTGAAGCCAAAGCACTGTTGCAGCATGCCTCTGCATGCTAAACCATTTCTAAGTTACAGAAACTATGGGCTTGATCCAACAGGAAGAGCAACTATATCCAGAAGCATCTTCAGGCACAAGGCTTATACCAACAGCATCCATCTCTTGCGAGTAAATGAATAGGCTGTAAACATGGTAGATAACAAAGATGTCCTGGAATTTTGTCTGCATCTGGGCATTCTGGGAAACCCGGACTGGCCCATTTTAGTGGATCACACACGGCAGCTGTGCACTTAAGGCATAGGGGGAAGCTAACACAAAAACTTGCCCCAAAACTGCAGCTGCTCATGTGAGCAGTCCTGCATCTTCCCAGGGAAAAAAAAGGTTCAATCTGGTCTTTAGAAAGTACATCTTACTAAGTTACACAATTAAGAACATGGCTAAATATTGAGATTTCTTTCAAGCACCACACTGACCACCACTTCAAAGGGAGGGCAATTACAGCTTGAAATATAAAAAAGAACAAGTGTGGTGATTGAATGGAAGTAATTCTGGTTGAGTTTTTGGCTGCTTTTTATATACTTGTTATGAAGTAGCACTTTGGCACCTCCATAGTAGTAAGCGTTGTGAAACAGAATAGTAAACAAGATGAAGCAGTGAAGCTGCTGCCTATTCCACAATGTTTCCATCATAGGCAGCACTTCCTAATGATTGGCTAACAGGAGAAATTATCACTGCCACTTCTGGCTTTTCCATCTGTAAAATGGGGTGGTACGCACCTCTCCCACCATAAATGCTCCTGAATGTGTTGTTTATGCAAACACAGGACCCCATTTATTAGAATTCATGCAAGACAAAGGTATTCTTGGATAACATGCTACCTTGCTCCCCCCGGTCCTTAGAACCACCAGGGACTGACCAGAGCAAAAGCAGATTTGGGAGTGGTGGGAATGAAGGGCCCTGAGGAAACTTCCATTAGAGATGTACACCAATGAACTAAGATGCTTCACATCATAGCAATCCATGCAACAAAGGGCAATATGTATATATTTTTATCTTGGATTCAAGGTAGATTTTTATAAGTCAGAGACTGTTTGAATTGCAGGCAAGTGATAGGTGAAGTTTGCTCTTGCAACAAATCACCAGTCAGACCAGCTGTACTCTGGGCCAGCTAGAATCCCACTTAGCCTGGAACAATCACTCTCACACAGCATGATCCTGTAATGCCATCTGAAAATCAAGGTGCTCTGGATAATAGAAAAAGAGAAGACATCTTAACAAAAAAATTTATTGTGACTGAACAAGATGTACAAGGTGCTCAAGCTGTGAATTTTCTGACTCCCTATAACTGCAGGTTCAGTGCATTACACCACCACCATTACACCACCAGAACCAGGTTGCTTCTGCAGGCTGACCAGTCTCTTAACTACTTTTTGCCAGACTTCTTTATTCCGCCAGTACCTGTCAAAAGAAAGCAAGCCACAGCTGCCAAAGCTTGTATACAGATTTAGTCCTGCAAAAAGTCAACTCCCCACCACCTTCCAGTTATTTCTTTCACGTGGGTCTCGGCTTGGAAGCTTTCACCTCTACCACTGCTTCGTTTCTGCTACATTTGCTCCTCACTATGCAGGTGAATTATTTTGCATGTTATATTTCATCAGCACAAGCTTTTTTTCCCCCCTCACAAGACTCAGTATGTAAAATAAAATCCTATTACACCAGTTATGCCCCTAGTGTCATCAGCAGGGTAAACAACCCGATACTGATTCTGCTTCTGACAACGGGGTGTTTTCTGCAAGGATTCCTTCGCTTTTTAAAGTCATTTGCCCTCTAAGAGGACAAAGACCAATCCGTTGGGCTTCCAGGCTTGTTCCCCCATGTTCTCTGCTCAGGATTTGGGGAGAAGGTGTGGGTGAAATATGGAAGTAGTGAAATCATTTGGGGACACACCTACTAGAAAAAATGAGCTTTTTGGTTGTGCAGACAGGGGCCTGCACCTGCCGACCTAGCTGAGCGTAGGAACCTGTTTTGAGGAACATCGTTTTGGCATCGTACACCTCCTCAGCTCAAGACACGGGTGCAAACAACTAGCACAGATGAAGCGAGCGGCAAGTCTTTAGTCAGGCGTGCCGACTCGTCTCCTTTGGCCGGCTGTCCTTCCTTGCGCGCTCAGCGCGCCGTGGGGCCGGGGCCGCAGGGCGCCTGGGCTCTGCTGGGGCGAGGCAGGCCCCCAAAGCCACTTACCCAGGGGGCCTTTGGACGCAGCCTTCGCCTTCATCTCTTCCAGCTTCTTCTGCTCCTCCTTCTGCTTCTGCTTGAACGCCACGTCCGCCTGCGGCACAGAGCGCGCCCGTCCGCT